CAGTATAACAATGGAATTATTGTGATGGCTCCCAGTACCCTAGAAAATAAATACCAACATTTTTAGGTTGGCAGTTAAGGCCCTCTAAAATCTAGCCCCAATCAAACCTTCAACATTTTCTTGCACTATTCCCCCTGGTATTCTACTCTTTATTCTAATGGAAGTGACTAGCTGTTTGCTACACCAGCACATAGAAGAGGCTTAAATGTTAGCAAAATGTTAGAAACTGGCTTTGTTAACCAATGTAAAATTTGGCAGGTGTGTGTGGGGGTATGCTTTATTTAGATTAGTGTTTCTCAAACTTCACTGTGCATCAGAATCACCTGGAGGACTTGTGAAAACTCGGATTGCTGGGTTCCATCTGCAGAATTTCTGATTCAGTTGATCTGTCTCAGGGCCCGAGAATTTGCAAGTCTAACACATTTCCCAGGTGATGGTCGAAGAACCACACTTTGAGAATCACTAGTTTGCTTGCTCACTTCAACTAAAGCTGAGGGCCGAAAGTGCAAGTTCAATATGATTTGAGCTGCCTTTGTATAACACAAGAGCGATCTTTTGAAAACTAAGTCAGATAATGCCACTTCTCTGCTGAAAACCCTTGCACTGACTCATTTTACTCCAGGTAAAAGCTGGTGAGCTTACAGTGGCCCATCGTACATATTATATTTTCTCCCCTCCCCAGTCACCTCTCTAGTCTCATCTCCTGACACCCCCCAACTCTCATTCTGATGCAGCCACACTGACCTTTATTTGCAGCCACACTGCTATGTTATTTCCTCTGTCACATCAGGCACCTTCCTGCCTTAAGATGTTCACTTTAGGTATTCCCTCTCCTTAGAATGTTCTTTCCCCAGTTAACTCTTTGGCAAACTTCTTCATTGTCTTCAAATCTTAGCTGAAATCTCACCTTCCCAGTGCTGGGGCCTACCCTCATCATCCTGTCCCGTACTGTACCCTGCCACTCCTCTTCCCACCCCAAGCCCTTGGCTCCCTAGATCCCTTCTCTCTTGCTTTACTTTTTTCTTCTTTGATGATAGTAGCCCTTATGAACTTCTCACATACTGTATATTTCACTTATTATATTTCTTGTCTGTCTCCTCTATCAGAATATAAGCTCCTTGAGGACAGGGATCTTTGTCTTGTTCTCTGATGCATCTTAAGCACCTGGCACATAGTAGGTGCTCAATAAACAGTAACTAGATGAATGAATACATGAACACATTAAGTATACTGTACAGTGTACTGTTTCAAGGAATGCTATATAACAGTATCTTTTTGAAACTGTTACCTGTTACCCTGCAAGACAGTAACTTATCCAAGCTAATGACAAATTATTTTTCTTTCCTCTTTTATCTGTGTTGTGGGAAGTCAGGGACCCTGAACAGAGGGACCAGCTGAAGCCGCGGCAGAAGAACATAAATTGTGAAGAGTTCATGGACATTTATTAGTTCCCCAAATTAATACTTTTATAATTTCTTACGCCTGTCTTTACCGCAATCTCTGAGCATAAACTGTGAAGATTTCATGGACACTTGTCACTTCCCCAATCAATACCCTTGTGATTTCCTATGCCTGTCTTTAATCTCTTAATCCCGTCATCTTCGTAAGCTGAGGAGGATGAATGTCGCCTCAGGACCCTGTGATGATTGTGTTAACTGCACAAATTGTTTGTAGAGCATGTGTGTTTGAACAATATGAAATCTGGGCACCTTGAAAAAAGAACAGGATAACAGCAATCTTCAGGGAACAAGGGAGATAAGACTTTGGACTCTGACTGCCAGTGAGCCGGATGAACAGAGCCATATTTCTCTTATTTCAAAGGCAAATGGGAGAAATATCGCTGAGTTCTTTTTCTCTGCAAGGAACATCCCTGAGAAAGAGAATGCGCCCTGAGGGTAGGTCTATAAACAGCCCCCTGGAGCGGGCGTCTTTTACTTACAGGCGAAGCCAAAGGGATGAAATAAGCCCCGGTCTCCTGTAGTGCTCCCAGGCTTATTAGGATGAGGAAATTCCCGCCTAATAAATTTTGGTCAGACAGGTTGTCTGCTCTCAAACCCTGTCTCCTGATAAGATGTTATCAACGACAATGTGTGCCCAAAACTTCATTAACAATTTTAATTTCGCCCCATCCTGTGGTCCTGTGATCTCGCCCTGCCTCCATTTGCTTTGTGATATTTTATTACCTTATGAAGTATGTGATCTCTGTGACCCACACCCTATTCGTGCAGTCCCTCCCCTTTTGAAAATCACTAACAAAAACTTGCTGGTTTTATGGCCCAGGGAGCATCACGGAACCTGCTGACATATGATGTTTCCCCCTGACATCAAGCTTTAAAATTTCTCTCTTTTGTAATCTTTCCCTTTATTTCTCAGACCAGCTGAGACGCTTAGGGAAATAGAAAAGAACCCACGTGAATATCGGAGGTGGGGTTCCCCCAATAATCTGCTTAGTAGTTCATACATTCTCATTTTTAGACATTTCTACTAGTGGTCTGAGGCTATGGGATACACACATATATCTATTCATTTAAACACATTCTGTACAAAATGGTGTCAGGACTAAATATGTTCTAGGTTGAAGCAATATTATAAGCAGACCATTTTGTTAGCACATGGAGATTAGGATCCTATATTTTAGGCCCCAAGGAGCTGCAGATTTTAAGGAGGTAATTATCTTTAACATAAGGTATTTTTGAACAATAAAGAGTAGACACTCTATAGTATTATCTTCCACCTTCTGGCTTATAGGACATGACAGTTATTATAATACTAGTTTTCATTTTTATTTTTTTATTGCTATTTTATTTATTTATTTTTTGTTGTTGAGATGGAGTCTCGCTCTGTCACCCAGGCTGGAGTGCAGTGGTGCAATCTCAGCTCACTGCAAGCTCCACCTCCCAGGTTCACGCCATTCTCCTGACTCAGCCTCCTGAGTAGCTGGGACTACTAGAAGGCGCCCGCCACGACGCCTGGCTAATTTTTTGTATTTTTAGTAGAGATGGGGTTTCACCATGTTAGCCAGGATGGTCTCGATCTCCTGACCTCGTGATATGCCCGTCTTGGCCTTCCAAAGTGCTGGGATTACAGGCATAAGCCACTGTGTCCAGCCTCTTTATTGTTATTTTAAAATATAATATTAAAAATAGAGACAGGATCTTTTTCTGTTGCCCAGGCTGGTCTCAAACTCCTCGGCTCAAGTGATCCTCCCACCTCAGCCTCCCAGAGTGCTGGGATTACAGATGTGAGCCACCCCACCTGGCCTAGTTTTCATTTCTTGAGGGCTTACTCTATGACAGGCAATGTGCTAACCCTTTTATCTTATATAAACACTTTGTCTTATATAGTTCTCATTACACTACAGGCAGGAATTTTACATATGAAGAAACTGAAGTCCAAAGAGCTTCAACAGCTGGCATAAAGTCACACAGCTGGCAACTGGCAGTGAAGGCATTGAATCTACATCTGTTTCAAACCTATTAAATATTACAAAGTCTGAGTACAAACAAGGAGCAGGAGTAAAACAGGATGCTAGGAGAAATATTGTGTCACAAATCCACATTTGGTGCTTGTGTGGAAAGTGAGCAGTACTATATTTTATCTGCCACTGTTTAAGAGAAAAAGCTTTTAACAAGCAAGCCTGTTCAAATTGCACGTTGATATCTTCTCCCTGATGTTAAAAAATATTTTTAAAGAGCAATGTAGTTTTTCCTTTAACAAACTCACAAATAACCCCAAGGTTTTAAATGCTTGTTTCCCATTGTAGTGCTTTTTTCCTGTCACTGTTTTCGAGCTAGAACATGGAGTCCTTGCTAGGGAAAGGAAGGGCATGATCATCAATCTCCATTAACAGCCTTGAGTGGCTTCTGTTATCTGATGATTTCTGAGCTGATAGAGGGTAAATACTGATGTGGTTAGATGAGCTATTCATCCACATCTGACATTTACATAAGCTCTGCATTCACCCTTTATATTCACATATTTCAGATAGTGTCCTATGAATTGGGTAGATCTTTTCAAATTCTATTCTTTCTCCAAATAAACCTCTTTTTCTTTCCTTTCCTTTTCTCTCTCTCTCTATTTTTTTCTTTTTTTAATTTTTTATTTTTTAGAAAGGTTTGGCTCTATTGCTCAGGCTGGAGTGCAGTGGCACCATCTCACCTTACTGCAACCTCCGCCTCCTGTATTCAAGCCATCCTCCCACCTCAGCCTCCCAAATAGCTGAAACTACAGGTGCACAGCACCATGCCTGGCTGGTATTTGTAGTTTTTCTGGGATGGGGTTTCACCATGTTGCCCAGACTGGTCTCGAACTTATAAGCTCAAGTGATCCGCCTGCCTTGGCCTCCAAAAGTGCTGGGATTACAGGCATAAGGCACTGTGCCTGGCCTCCAGATAAACCTCCTCTCAGAGTTATGTCAACAAAAAAGCAGAACCCATGCTATAAGAGTTTAGTATTTTGGGGAGAGCATAAAATTATTATGATTTCCTAAATTAGTTATGATACAGAGGATACATTAGAGCAGTGTCAATCAAAACGGATTTATAAGGAAACCAAAACTAATCTTTTTTCATGTTTAAGTTCACTGTTAAGGTAAAATAATAACCCAAGTGCAGTAACCACCCTTTATTTCATCAGCTTGAGTCTATTTATTGTCTACCTTCTCCTCACAAGTAAAGTCTTAAGATCTTAAATAGCTCTCCCTCTTCATCACTCTTTTTTCTCTTTTATTACTCATCTTGTTTTCTAAAATGTGGTGCTACAGGAAATAATTTTACTTTATGGAGAGTGAGAAAGGAAATTATTTTTATGAATATTGTACTGTTTTCACCCAACAGGTTGAAAATTCTTGCCTCTTATTAATGAAGAAATTAACTGATATCTGTGAGTCTATTATCTGAGAACTTCAATGACCTCCTTCTCTTGGGTTAGCAGAATGAAGGATAATGAGATTCATCTCTTGTACAAATCAGCCTGTTTTCTGGAAGCCACAGGTTACTTACGTTTGCAAGCATCTGGAGCTGAGAAGGGTCTCCGCAGGTCACGATAGAAGCCTGGCTTGCACCTCTGGCAATGCTGTCCTTCTGTGTTGTGCTGACAGTCATCACAGACGCCACCGCTACGATTCCCCGATGCCTCCCACACATTGACGTCGAAGTGACAGGTATCGGCATGCCCATTACACTTGCAGGCTGGCAATAAGAAGCGTGGAGAGAAACACTAATAAGTAAAAATAAAGTGATGGCTTATCTCATATTCAGGTAGTTAAAAATAGGATGAGTTGGCCAGGCATGGTGGCTCACGCCTGTAATCCCAGCACTTGTGGGAGGCCAAGGCGGGTGGATCACCTGAGGCCAGGAGTTTGAGACCAGCCTGGCTAACATGGTGAAACTCCATCTCTACTAAATACAAAAGAATTATCCAGGTGTGGTGGCACACGCCTGTAGTCCCAGCTACTTGGGAGGCTGAGGCAGGAGAATTGCTTGAACCTGAGAGGCGGAGGTTGCAGTGAGCCAAGATCACGCCATTGTATTCCAGCCTGGGTGACAGAAGGAGACTCTGTCTCAAAATAAATAAATAAAAATAGGATAAACTGATTGTCAATGTTTAGTTTTAGTTTTTGAGTAGTTAACAATACAAAAATCAAAGGAATATAGAAAGGTATCCATTGAGAAATCTAGCCTCTGCCTCCCCATTTACCCTGTTTTCCCTGACTTCAATAGGTTACTACTTTTTTTTAAAGAGTTTCTTGTGTAGCCTTCCAGTTTTTCATTATAGGCTGTTAATTAAAAAAAAAAGTTTCAGGAGATGCATGAAAGTCAACAAAGTGTAGATTTGTCTAGTTGGGCAAAGATATGATGATGAACTTACCAACAGGGGTTGACATTCATTGTGGAAAGATTACAGGAGTGACCATCAGTTTTTACCCTCTCTTTTGGTAACCCTTCACGATTCCCATTCCTATTACTTCTCAAGGGTCATCCTGTGGGTCTCCTGTCCTTGCTAAGAAAAGCTGAGATTGTCAGGCCTTAAGTGGAAATGAGCATTCATATTGCAGATGCAGGCATGAATTCATGCTTACTAATGAGCCTGGAAGGGTCATTACTCATGAGCTTCTGGTGGACAGAGCTTAGGAACTTGGCAAGTAGTTTGATTTCATGAAGTACTATTCTTCAGCTGTTGAGCTGGTGAGTAGAAGGTGGACTCCTATTGAAGCCTCAATTTTCTTACAGAAGAGGCCTGCAGTATTTATTATATAACAATTCCTCAAAGGCATTTCTAAGATTATAAGTCAATAGCATCAAGTGACATGTCTCTGTGTTCTATATGTATTTAGATAGGCAGCTGATTTATGTGGAAAGAGCCAGAAAGTCACCCTAGGAATTCAGGATAAATTCTTTAGAGTCTCTTCATTGGTGATTTAGAATAAGAATCCCGATTTTTGGAGGTCAAATGTATTTGAAAATGTTTGTGCGATTGTTTTTCATTGTTTCCTTGATGTGTTATGAAATTCTGACCAGATTCATATCTTTTTAAAGTATATTACAAGATAATTTAAGATTTATTCTTACAGGAAATCCTTTACATTTCCTAGAAACAAAAACAAATCAGTTATGACTCCGAATTATGTATGGGAAGAGACTTCTCACAATGTTACCCACGGAACCTGCTTTTAAATCCTTGTAAAAGAGAGGTTTGTGAGTGTTAACATTGGGATGGGCATGCACATTTCTCTGAACATTTTAAATTGCAAAGAAAAAATGGCTCATGTTCCTATATTTTTACCTTCCTATTTAATCTCCAGCCTCAAACCTCAAGCTAGTTAGTCCTTGTAGGGAAATCTCCTTCTTAACTTACTGGCTTAATTTCAAATCTAATCTTTCATTTCAAGTATCATAAAGTGAAAAAAAAAAAAAGGCAATGTGGTATTATGGGAAAAAGTACCTAATTTGGAGTCTTGAGACTTGGGATCAAGTCCCCATTATCATTTACTAACTTTGGCAAATCACTTAATCTTGCTGAGCCTCAGTTAGCTGATCTCTATAATGGGATTAACACCACCTGCTTTATTAAGTAGTTTTGAGAACTGAATTCAAAATAGCTATTTTCATGTTTATAATTCACCATCTCAGCAATGAGAGTACAACAGAATCAGATGTTCTTGTGTTTACTCATGTATTTACTTATTTATTTATTTAGAGACAGAGTCTCCCTCTGTCACCCAGGCTGGAGTTCAGTGGCGTGATCTCAGCTCACTGCAACCTCCACCTCCCGGTTTCAAGTGATTCTTGTGCCTCAGCCTCCCAAGTAGCTGGGATTACAGGTACACGCCAACATGCCTGGCTAATTTTTTCTTTTTCTTTTTTTTCTTTCTTTTTCTTTTTTTTTTTTTTTTGTATTTTTAGTAGAGACAGGATTTCACCATGTTGGCCAGGCTGGTCTTGAACTCCTGGTCTCAAGTGATCCACCCGCCTCGGCCTCCCAAAGTGCTGAAATTACAGGTGTGAGCCATCCTCCTATTTTTATTATGTCAAATTGTAAAAGGGTTCTTAGCTCCCAGAAAGTATCCAAGAAAATGGGGAACATATTCTTGGCGAAACAGTCACACAAGCAATGTAACAAAGAGCAACTGTTTTCAGTGGCTGAAGCCTCAGTGGGCAGTGATATGGCTATGTTTGTGTAGGGTCTAGTGTTTGTCACCCACCACTTTGTGTTGTGTTTCTAGAGACAACAAGGACTCCACAGATAAGCTGACTTTGCAAAGAAAGCTTTTGAATATCGTGGACTTGTTACTTACTTCTGCACTCATTGGGAGCCCCCGTTTTGCCATCAGCTGCCTCCCATGGCCGGTCGTTGTATAACGGAGCACAGTGCTGGCAGTGGCTGCCTGCTGTGTTGTGCTTACACATACACTTCCCATGGACCTACAAGCAACATCAAGTGAGAGCTATGAGCACAAATGTCGCCAAAGAAGAACATGTTCCCACAATCGCATCACATGGAATGGCTTTAGTCATAAGATGTTCATTCACTTTTCTGAAGAAGTTAACAATCAAGAGGAGAGATGCTTTCTTTAGTTTGTCTTATAATCTTTTGAAAAATTCAAAATATGAAGTAATATAGTATCTTGACCGAAGGGTATATGACCCTAGAGAGCAGTTCTAATGTACTTACTGGCTGAGCAAGCACCTGAATCCTAAAGTACCGGCTAAGTTTTTAATATCTTTAATTTTTAAAATTCTTTATGCAAAAGTAACATACCTTCATTCTAGAAAGTTTAGAAATCCATAATCTCATTGCGAAAATGACATTAATATCCACATTTGGAGCATATATTTCCAGTACTCAAAAAAAATTATATTTACAACCTTTTTCACAAAATATATTGTGAATATCTTTCCGTTTTGTTAAATATTCTCATATAATACACACTCTAATGGTGCCCCTGTATGATGTATAATTAATTTATCTGACCATCTATTTTATTGTAATTTAGGTTTTTAAATATATGTATATATTATATTCAATGCTATAATGAATATCATTGTAGCTAAGTATTTGTGTGCATCTTTAATTATTTCCTTTGACTGTATTTTCTAGAAGTAATATTGAAAGGTCAAAATATGTATATTGTTAGGGCTTTGAATACATTTTGTCCTAATACACTGGGCGTTTTTTTTCCCCCATAGTTCACAGTAGTATAGGATTTATTAAAATAGTATTTCTCCCAGAGAGAAATACCTCAGTGGAATTCTTAGAAACATGGGAATTTTAATATTTTTTGTGTTATTTCACTGATAACTTCTAAAAATTAATATTTGGAATCATCTGAACTATCTCCTAATAACTAAGACTTGCAATGAATTTCAATACCAAGATACAATCCAGTACCAAGATTATTTATTTACATGATGTCATGACTATACAAAGGAAAGGTTTGCAAAGTAGCTCAGAACGGGGTCCATAAGTGTGGATCTGTGAGGTTTTATATTTTTTCCTTGAGAAATGTGTTAAAGGTAACATAAAGGTAACAAATTATGTCAACTAGTCAACAAATATTTAATGGGTACCTACAAGGGAGAGTCACTATGCTAGGCCATGTTTGGTACACAAAGCATTAGAAAACTCTTCTGTCTTTAAGAAAGATGAAATGTATAATATCTGGAGAAAAAAGAGTTACATAGAAGAAAATAACACATAAACAAGACAATAAATACTTAAGAAGCAAAATAATGCTGGCATTCAAAAGATGCAGAAATCACCATAGGTTGACAGCTGTGGAGGGCATAAGAGAAAGGTGGAGATTGGAGCTGGCCCTTGGCACATGGGTGGCATTTTTAACAGACAGAAGGGAAGAAACTTTTCAGGAAAAGGAAACAAAATGAACCAAGGTATAAGGAGAATCTGTTAGCAAAGTTTATTTCAATGCATCTAAAATATTTCAATTGTGACAAAAAATGAATTACTAAAAATGACATGTACTCAGCATGGCCAAACGAAAATGAGTCCCTAAGGTAAAGTTCAACAAACCTGAAAACAGCCACACCAATACACTGATGTACTACTGCTTGACCTAAGATAACACTCAAGTACCTTGTGTCATCTCATCCAGGACCTTCTTTCTTTTAATACTTACCTACCACTGGTGGAGGCACTCTGCAAATGGCCTGTGCAATTATCCAAGTGTGCTATATGACTGCTATGGGCCTTATGCTCACATAATGTCCAAGTTCAGGAATTACACACAGGGCTTATTTGACTGAAGGCTGCGTGTGAGTGAACATGACGCCTAGGAGTTAGCTGGAAAATTTCATAAGCAATGTGTTGGTGGCCATCTTGCTAAATTTCATTTCAGTGTATTGTCATGTAAGGTTCTCATGCTTCGTGAAAATTATAAAATTTCTTTTAATTCTCAGGGCTTAGTGAGTATATAGATTTTTTTAAAAGGGTAAATTGGCTCTTTGAAAAAAGATGATGTTGCAAAAATTTTTGTTAATTTTCTTTATAGAAATGCAACTAATACTATAGATTCATTCACTGGTTTTGGTCTTGGAATGCCCAAGTATAAATTGAGTTATAATAGTCTACCTTCTTGGGCTTCTCTTCATGGCTGTGATATGAAATGTTTATATATTGAAATTCCATGGAGTTATAAGGGTTCACTACAAATCTCCATTCACACATCCAGGCAAGCTCTAAAGACAAATCTGCACTTAAATTTTGAGAGCTGCAGGAATTCAACTTCTACTGCTCTAAAAAATGAGATTTTTTTCATCCTAGCTCCTGGGTATCTGATTTTTTCCTATCCATTTTTTATAATAAAGTATATGAAGTAGAGGTGCCTCAGTCATATTACTTTTCTTCAACCTTTTTAAAATCAGTGTTCTGTCTCATCATGAAAAAAATATAAACTCTTGCCAATCAAATAACTTCTATGTGGCAAATTTCTGTAAAGACTCTCAGGAAAAGTTGATGATTCTTTGTTTTACTTGTAGTACTAAATGTTGGGTTTAAAGAAAAGGGAGTCTTTGAAAAAATGACTGTAGGAAAAATCTTCCAAGGCTGAAGAATTTAGTAAGATGAAGGCATCCTTATATAGTAGGCAGAAGTAGCACAATGGAGACTAGTAGGAAAAACAGTTCTGTAATTGTCTAAATCCTACATATCAAAAAAAAAAAAAAACCCACACACAAAAGCAAAACATACATAAAAAACACATAAATAATCTGATAGAATTAGAGTCAGAGTTCCTGCTGTTAAGGGAGTTCTATCTGAGGGCATTAGGGAAAATGTTAAGGGGTGTAAAGTAAATATGATAGAAAACAAGGTCAATTAGTGCTGTCTATATAAAACTTCTAAGTGTAGTCCCTGAGTCTGTGTCCTGACGGGTACATGAGATTTTCCTTAGGGAGCAAAGACAAGAATATAAAAACCCTAAAGGAATAGTCAGGGACAGTCAATAAATAAACCAGAGGTATGTGTTCGAGAGGTAGGTTCAATCCAGATCACGGAACACACTAAACATTAGCTTAAAGAGACTGAAATTTATCCCGTAAGCAATGCAGATCCATTGAAGATTTTTGAGTAAGGAAATAATGTGAAAGGTATATTAAATACACTTTCTTTTCTTCTCTTTAAAAAAAAAAATTCTTTCTACCTCTCTCCTATCTTGCCTGTTATGTTCTTTCTTCTCTTTCTCCTTTTAAGGTTTCTTCTCCAGCTTTACCCCCAGCTCATGCCTTATAATAACCAGTGGTTCCCACATGTATTTTCTGAAAATATTCAGAAGTTGAAAAGGTTGTTAATTTCTTTTTCCTGATTTTCCAGTTATATCAGCATGTTAATCTTATGTACTGTTTTTTTGCATCCTCTCCATTTTTAAATTTTACTTATTTATCTTTAATTATTTTTAGAGACAGGGTCTTGCTTTGTTGCCCAGGCTGAAGTGTAATGGTGTGATCACAGGTCACTGACACCTTGAATTCCTTGGCTGAAGTGATCCTCCCATCTGAGTCTCCCGAACAGCTTGGACAACAGGCATATGTCACCATGCCCGACTAATTTTTGTAGTTTTTGTAAAGATGGGGTTTCACTACATTGCCCAGGCAGGTCTCCAACTCCTGGGCTCAAGTGATCCTCCCACCTCAGCCTCCTAAAGGGTTGGGATTACAGGCATGAGCCCCTATGCCTGGCTCTCTTTTCCATTTTTTAGCAACCGTTTATTGAATACTGTATGAAGATAGATGCTGCAATGTACTGTGAGTCCTCTTCAAAGGAGCTCAACCATTGTCATAGGTTCAATTTGTCAGGTTTGGTCTTGGAAGGCCGAAGGTTTATACGTAATATCACCTAACACATGGGTTCATCCTGCCACAAATGCCAGGCCTCAGGAGTCCGCAGACATTTAGAGTTACCCCATCAAACATTCACATGTATCACAAGATAATGTTGGACAGGTCAATTCCTTCTGCAGTGAGGATTTCAGAGCGTTCCCTTGATCCCACATGCCAAGGATTGGGATGAACCTCCCAGGGTCTGAAAGATGCTAGCCAGCAAATTTTTCTGCGTGCAGAAAAATTCAAGGAGCTGTCATTTTGAGAATTACCAAAAATAGCTGTAAATCATTACCTAGACAATTTGAAACAAGAAATCCTTCCTCAGCGATACAACTGTTGCTGTTCAAGCTTGAAAGATCATCCACTATTTGATGCTCGTGAAAAATGTGCAAGTAAAACTAGGTCTTCATTGAAAAAAAAAAACAAAACAAAAAAAAACCAGAAAAAGGAAACTTTAGTAATAGGTTAAACATAGTTCTTGTGTGGTATACAAACATGAACCAGATAAGGAGCAGGAAAATGGGATTATGTATTTAAGGTTTAGTTGAAGAAAAGTGGTGTCTAGTTATCTAATTAAAAAATGAGTAATTTACCTGAACAGCAAAGCTGCAACTCCTAATGACCCAGGAGGTGAATAGAATTTTGGATATTCTATGATTTCCATAAACTTCCCTGTTATGCTAAGAATATGCTTCTCTGCCAATATCAAAAGTTTTCACATTCATATTTAATTGAGTTCATTTGCTACTAATATCAACACACTTGCCAGTCATTTTTAGAACATTTACCTTACAGGAAGGGACTCATACACACATTGAACTAGTAAGTCAAGGAATTACTGGAACAGCATGCTCATTAGGAGCTATTCACTTTGGTGATAATATCATATATTAAAGCCAAATAGGCGTGGAAGAGAAAATATTATTTTCTCATATTTGAGGCAAGAGACATAAGAATTTAGGTGGGGGGGGAGGTGAAATGGGGAAATTATTATCTTTTAGATCCATAACTGGAAGATACATGGGACTTGCCTAGAAAAGCTGCTTTTTCATTGAGCTTCCTTTTGGGGCAGAAGGCTTTCAGTAGTC